GATAAAGTATTATTAGGTATAAGTACTATAACAGTAACAAGTGTTCCGACTGATACTGCTCATTTGATTTTAGTAAACAGGATAATTTATTCATATTGACAAATTGCATTGCTTTTCTGTAAGTTGATTCTGGGTGATTATGTAGTTAAAGTTTTTAGTAAATCGTAATTCAACAACCCGCATTTGAAGTATTTCACGTAGAATTGTGTATGATCAAACTAGGTACATTCAATTAATGAACAATATGTAACAATGTTTACTTAAATTTAAATATTTGTAAGCCTTTTCCTTATTTTAACAGTGATTCATTTAATAATTATAAACAAGCAGTTTATTATTGTATGTAGAAATTATTACTGTTTTATAAAACTACGATAGTATTTTAAGCATTATTGGACTGATAGAGAATAGAGCTTTGTTGAAGTTGGTATTGTGATGCTTGAATCAATTTAAGAATTTCAGTGTTTAGAGCAATACCAATTATTATTGTATTTTTCAAATTTTTATACATACTACATATTTGAGAATTAATGAAAACCTTATATGGGCGATTTACTGACATGACAAGTTGTTAAAATAATTAAAAAATCGTTTATTTCGTTGTTTTCAGTAAAATCAATCATAATTACAGTATTTTTTGTTTTGTGTTGTCTTATAGTATTTTTTGAACGCCCGTGGGTTTAGCTTTTTGTTATTAGTCACATATTTTTGTGTGACCGAATATAATGTAATGATTGTGGTGGATTGTGGAGAATCAGCCTTAAATGTTCTTTATGAGTCATAAATTATGACATACTTAATTGATTCAGGCACTTTTAACTTCACAATCATTTTTGTATAGTTTCATTTTAGAGGTCTGTTGCTGCACAATAATAATGTAAGAAATAATCGATCTAATTGAAACTATTGTATATTTCTTATTGATTCGTCGTATGCATCTCTATAAATATGTGCAATTGTAATTTTAAACCAGACAAATACATAATTATTTAAATGAATATCTTTTTTTATTTACCTTTATTCCTACACAAGTATAAAGTTACACATTTCCTCCTGTCGGTCATCGTTTGACTTAGGCTGATTTACACGTAAATGTAGATAAGTAGGTAACTATATTTTACATTTTAACTTGGATTTTTTTTGTCTTTAGCTCCTTCAAAGCGACTATAATAGTACTTTTTAGGCAAGTTCATACATTTTCTGCGAGAGAATTTCTCTCAGAGAAATGATATTATTATTATCACTATAACCTTTGTTATTAGGTTCTATGGTGTTTTTTGGTGCTACTACAACTGCCTAACTGAAATTTAACAATTTACAATATTACTCCGACCCCACAGCATACTTAGAGTGATTATTAGTATAAAGAAAAAAATCTCCAACACGATGATTGTCAGCAGGGTACCCCATCATTGCCGGATCGTTTCTGCATTCGCCTCGTTTGAATTCCTTCCAATCTTCACAAGGATAGGAGTCAAAACCTATATCCGAGTCTATAGATTCCAAGAAATATTCATGAGATCGTCCATGACTGCAACCTTCTAAAATAGGCACACGATTTCATGAATGAACACATCAAATTCCTACATGTTATTTTTTTTCTATAAACTTCTTACCGATAATATCTTTAATTCCCCCACATCCTGGTTGTGGTGCTTTACCACCATTTGGATAGAAGTCTGCATGTCCATGACTATCCCTATATCCTAATATTCCTCCACAAGTGTGAATAATATCTACAAAATTAGCATCACTTGGGTCTAAGCGAAAATTTGGATCCATCAATGGTAGTTCGAACAATGGCCGTGCTGGATCTAGCCCTAAAACAATTCATCAATCCCTTTAGACAAGTTGCAAAACGTGATAGTTTTCATTTCGAAATAGCTTCAACCGGACCAGAGTACTTATAGTTAGGGAGGCGAATAGGGGAATTTTCGGCAATACTCGAGCGTGGCAGTTTAAGATATGAGAGATAGTACCTTAGACCTAATAGAACAACCTTGTAAAGTATTTACTGTGGTATTTAGCTCTATATGTAGTGACGCGCGCCTAGGATAGACGATCAGATTAGTAAAAAAAAATGGATAGTCTGAAATACTCGAGCGCGTCAGATTAAGATATTGGTTGATTTTAGTGTTTATAGACTAAAATTAACTAATCTGACGAGTCCTTGACGCCGCCGAGTTATAGGGTCGCGAACTTGTAAAAAAAAAAACGTTAATCCAGCATTCTCGAGCGCGATTTTTTATTTTTTATTTTGAAGAATATAATCTAAAACTTACTAAAAATACAAAATTGCCGGTTTCCGCATGACCGGAAGTGTGGAGAAGCCATTTCGTCTTCCTAAGAACGCGTTACGGCATATAAGTCGCGAACGATACATTTTACAAAAAAAAGTTTAAATAAACATTTACGTTGGTTGTATCTATCGCTTTATTGACATTCTTAAATTCCCCATTTTATCAAGGAGAAATAAAGGAATAAAAAGAAACCAAAATTTTTTTTTATTTTTTTTATTTTTAAAAACCTTTTTCGGTCAGATTAAGAGAACCCACCAACATTTTTGTCAGATTAAAAAAATATGCTTTCAGGATACCGAGATAAACCTCCCCTATGAAAATCTGACGCGCTCGAGTATTTCAAAAAAACTTTTTTTTTGCATTTTCAAAAATTCATCGTAACTTATCGTCACGCCGAAATCGTCAGTTTTTTTAAAGGGAGCTTCCTTGGGGCCTACTTAACACCCCTTCCGAAAATCTGACGCGCTCGAGTAATTTTTTTTTCATTTTTGACTACTTTATATGCCTACCCCCACTACGCAAACCGGCAGATTAGTATAACCATTGTTATCAGAGGCACTCGGGGCATACGTAGTATGAATATCTGACGCGCTCGAGAATGCCCAAGTAGGTAACTGTTTTTTTTAACATTTTTGAAAAACCGTACACGCCAAACCCACCGCTAAAATGGTTTTTGCCATACGAGCTTTTCTTTTCCAAATTATTTTATCTTTCGATTTTGGTAGGTCTCGACGGCGCCGTTGAATTACACCATTTAGCCACCTCGCCTCCCTAACCATTAACTAATAAAAGACAACGTAGCCACACTATCAGAAAAACTTACCTGTTATTCTATGTATTTTCTCTCCCGAATACATTCCGGCGTAACCCATAACCTGGGCTCCAAGGCTATGTCCTATTAAATGTATCCGGCTGTTCTTCACCCCATAGGTTTTCATAAGTGAGCGTATTATTTTGGCTAAATATTTGCCTACATATCTTGTGCTAAATGCAGACCACGGATACACTGGATTGTCCGCTAGTTCACTCCAATCCACAGTTAAAACGTTGACATCAGATACGCCCAATATTGCATTCTTAATATTCTGGATCCAATCGGTATTTTCTTTGGATAGCCAACCATGGGTTATTGCTTTTATATCTCCAGATTCTTTGAAATATTTACTTTCAATGTTGTCATTTTCGTCATCTGGCGGTACTAGCAACTCTCCTTGTTTGTTGTTTTCTCTAATACATGATGAGATTTTGTTTATGTAGGTAGTTATGTAATCAATCTGTTACGACTAATTAAATAAGTAAGTAGTATTTTTTCTATTGGCAGTGAGTGGGGAGGAAGTTTAAAGGAATTAGGGCTATAAATTATTGGAGGAACGAATAATATTGATTTTACCTGGTGTATAAGTAACAGTATACTTTTCCATATGAGAAGCCCCTTGTTTCCAATGGTAAAGTTGAAAAATTCATCTCGTGGAGATAGCCACTTTCATCCATATACAATAGCCACTGGCTGCCATAACTTGGGTCGTTACCGTCTTCGTGGGCCACGACGCAGGCTTTTGCTATAAAATGACATCATCAAGCTAGCGAACAATAAATAAATATATTTATACAGTTTAGCGAGAGTCAGTCCAACGGTAGGCTCTTCTCAAGGCTTTGGTTTTCAAATTAAATAGGTACATGACGCAGGATAATGTTCGGCAAAAATGTAGTACAATATTTTGTTTCAAAGATCACAATCTATCAGTATATAATCAATAACAGTTGGCCCGTGTTAAATTGGCGCTCAACGTGGGGTGCCGGTTTAGCGCGGCGCGGTCAGTTGCCAAATACACTCTTTTGCCCGAACACACTGGGGTCGTGTATCTTAGTATAGGTACATTATTGAAAACCAAAACCCTGAGGAGAGCCCAACGCTGATCTGGCCCGCGCTAAAACAGTTAGCCGCGAGGCATTATTCAATTGGATATTGGACTGGTCAGGACTCTATACTAATTTTGACATTTTAATTTTGAGTTGATTTTCCAAAACAAGCGCACAGGGCCACAGGCGCGCGCTAATAGAGTGCGTGTTGTTATTGACTATCCAAAATATTAATATAGTGCAGTCTGGTGATGTGGTGTTAAATGAATGACTACGATACTATTTATACTTTACCTACGAGATAAATAAGTAAATCGAAAATATTCAAAGCCATTTTCGTTATGAATACAAAAGCGTCGTATTACTATTCCAAAAGGCACCGAAATGAATTCATGATGCTTCGTTATAAACATGGTAATTCCTTAGAGATAACTAACTTACATCGTCTCTTACATGTGTCTCGTTATCATCATAAGTACTTAATTATGCCTTATTTGACACAATGTCACATTACCTATCTAGGTACTAGGTAAGTCTACAATTAGGTAGATACCGTGTACAATTAGATTACTTACTTACTACAGTTTGTGTTAACAGTGTTATTTTGTGTATATGATATTATTTCACGTGATTGAAAAAAAAAATTAGTACATACCTACTCGTACCTATTATTCATAGGTTCGGTAAAGGTTTAGATTATTACTTACGTTACGTTTGAAAGATGATGGATGACCCAGTGTTAAAAAGAAAGAATAACTGCCAGTGAATGGGAATTAAATAAAATACAAGAATTAATCATAGCAACGTTATTGTATTTTTATTTTTTCGAATTGAATCCTTTTTTGTGCTTACACAGTAAACACATGACCTCAACACTTACAACTAAAAATATTCTAAAAATGAAAACAATGGATATTTCGAGTTATAAAATTGTGGCTTGTGCATTTTTGTTTCCAATCGAGGCGAACTTATTGTGGAATTATTGGTGTGACAGTTAAAGTGCTCAGTATGATGCTATGAATATTCGATATCACTTATTGTGCTGAGATATTGTGCATTTAAGTATGCCTTAATTTTTTAATATTCGGGTGCCCTGTTTCACCGCATTATTTTCTGCCAATGTGCACATTACTTCGTTTAGGTACTTACTTTCCTTTATACAAACTGATATATACGATTTAGTTACATTATTCTAATATATTGCTATCTTTTCATTTTTTAGTCTATAGAAAGTGTCAAGTGACTTTTAGGCTATGTTCGAAATGCTATAATAATTCACGTAATTTCTTTCGAATTAAGTAAGTAATACGAAATAAACAACATTAAAAAGTTCTTAAGTGTATTAAGGTACTTTATGTGCTCCGACGGCCGGTTACCGATGTAGTACGATCGGTTGTTACAAACTAAACATAATGTTAATGCACTTTGATAAGATTGCACTTTATGGCTAACGTTAGTTTAGTACGTAAAGGAAGGATAATTTTATATTGGAAAAAGACTAGATATCACATGGTTTGAGCTATATATATTACTTTTCATTCTCTTAATCTTGTACGTCCGTAAAATGTTAACATAATTTCCTAAAAGACCGGGATCAGAGCTCGCTTGCCAAACCTCATGTTGCTGTGTAATCGCTTACTTAAGAAGTCGTTTATAAGTAACTCGAAGTAAATGGGCATATAAAACCTACACGAACTACTCAACTGTGTGTTTCCCTACGTCTGTAGTCACAAATCGTTTGCCAATAGTGGATAAATAATTGATCACTCAATATTTACAGTAATAAAAATGTATAAGTATACTCAAAATTTTACATAGGTACCATACGTTAAAAATCGTCATTATCATATCTTGCTTGATATGCCTACTGTCGTGAACGACTAAAGACTGAATAATTTCTTCAAAATAATTTTCTGGGTTGACCGTACTGAACAAATCAACAATAACCGCACCGGAGCGGCCATTCCGAGACCGCTCCGCCGCACTCTGCAGCCACAATCGGTCTTACAACGACAGTTGTCCGCATTGAGTACCCGGCTTCACAAAATGTACGTGTATCAATATTTTTTACAGTTGGTCAGTCGACAATATTGAGCATTTAACATACCATTAATTTACTGAACAGTGGCTAATTTATTGCACATGTCGTCGATCCTAATATTCTAAGTGTAACTCTATTTCGGGAGATATCTAGGGAACGTTTTAGAAAATAATAAAACAATCATCTAATGTGTCTTTGTTAAACATAGCTTATCCCTATAATAATCGTCGTCGGCAGTGAACTAAACGATGCGCGCTAGGTCTGCTGCGTGGGGTACGGCTTTAGCGTTTTTCCGCTTCAGGCCCCCGTGTGGCCTGGGCACTTGATTTTCCTGGGAGCTCGAATGGCCAAATCCTCATGTGCCCTGGCCATTCGAGTGCCCAAATTCTCATGCGCCCTGGTCACTCGTCCGCAACTCCGCACGTCGCCAACTCGCGCTTACTTGTTATCCCTTTCAGAGGCTTCCATGCACGCACATACATAACTACATCTTATCATACCTACCTACCTATTTGTTATGAGTTATTTATTCCAATTTCTTTAAAGCGTACATTTTTATACTTATTTCGTAGGAGGTCCTTAACACGGTATTAAAAAAAATCAGATAACAAACATAGACACAGAATGTACAACGTGCATGCAAGGAAAACGCGAAGAGCACTCGACGCGACAAGTAAAACTAACAACAAACATAACACTAAACAGTCTTTCCATTGACTGGTCAACTATAGGTGGGATTGCTCCAGGAACAGATAGGCGAAATTGCGTTGAACATAATAAATAGAGAAGGCTAGTTACAGTATACTTTCAGTCGAAAACAAATAAGTACCCAGTACACGTGCCGTCACAGATTTCAGTCAGTGCATGGAGTAAAAGAGAATTGACTGAACTTCTGCTATCACTTGGGCAGTGACATTGAATTTCTTTTAGCATCACTATATGAATAATAACATTAAGAAACAAGTCTAGGAAATGTAAACAGTTTAAAAAATAATGACGACTCACGTGTCTCGTGCGTGCCACTCAAGCACTGGCAGCAAGTTCTTTAGAATCTCAATCATACCATACCTAAATAAATAAGTGTATAGATAATATCTAATATGTTTTTACATATGTACAGTTTTAAAAATTATATAAGGTAGGTACATAAACAATAAAAAATAATAAATTTGTACTTGTAAAATAATTCATTTAAAAATATGAAACAAATAATCCGTTTTAAGTATCTCGTCTCGATCTACATTATGTCTAAGTTCTACTTATGATTATTTGTGTATATTATATAAAAGAGCGCCGGCGGCCGGCGACGCGGCCGCGCTTATACTTAATCATTACTTTGTGAGTGAGTCCTATCTAGTGTCGTTAGAGCCGCGGCTGCCGGCGCCGGCCGCCTCCTCCTTTAATAAGTCGTTATCCCATAAATTAGTTACAATAATAACTACAATATAATTTTGGTATGAGCGGTGTCGTGGATGCTACCCCGCTCATACCTAAAGCGTTTAGGTGAACGTGGGCCCGCACTGCCCGCCCGCCGCGCTGCGCCGCGCCGCGCCGCGCGCTCTACGCTCGTACGCCCCGGCGCCCCGGGCTACCAGTTACTTACGAGGTAAATGTATGGCACGTTCGTTTGTTCTCAATAAGGCCAGCTTGATAATAATTATATCCGTAGTTTCACTGAAATAATTCGCAGTATCTTACTTTAATGAAAGCACCGTTCCGACTTTAAAAGTAGGTGTGATATATCGCTTAAAAATGCACCAAGTTCGTGCAATCGATTATAAGTACAATAGTATTTAATTGACATTTAAATGTTTTAAGAGGAGAGCAGGCAGTGCGAATACGAAACGTCACGGCATCCACTTTATAATATACGTACATTATTACAGTCAAACAGCTTTATGCGCCTGAAGTCGTTTCTAAGTAACTTATTAATAAATAGTCGCCGTCGCGTTCGTTGCGCCGGCGATAGAGGTGGGATCTTTGCGCTCCGTAGCGGAGATTGCTTCTACGAATATCTGCCCCGGACAGTCGCCTTCGGCGGCCCGCGGAAACTTGAGACTCCGGCTACTCGAGTCCTGTTTTGATAAGGTGGGGACTATATCGACTTCGGACTTCAAATAAATTGGAGTTAGGACTAGTTCGAACTGATTTACGATTTTAAAGTTTTCGCTTAAACGTTGGCAGAAATCGCAAGGATATAGACGGGAAAGGCTATCACGCAGATCAGCAGACGGTCTCGGCCGGCGGCGGCGGCGGCGCGAAGGCGGCCAGCGGCGACAGCGGCTCGGGCGAGCGCCGGCGCAGCGCCTGCCGCTTGCGGAACTCCAGGAACTCCTCCTTCATGGCGCGCACGCGCGCCTCCACGTCGTCGCGCGAGGGGCGCGCGCGCGGCCGCTCGGGCGTGGACGGCGTGGGCGTGCGCGTGGCGCGGTCCCACTCGTAGTGCACGTCCACGGAGCCCGCGTCCGCCGCCTCGCCCGAGCCGGGCCGCGGCGGGGGCGCCGGCGGCGGCGGCCGGTACGGCGGCGGCCGCCACTCCGCGAGGCTGCCGGTGCGGCTGCTGCGGTTGTGCTGCGACGAGGCGTTCTTGCTGCCGAAGCCGCTGGAGGAGCTGCGGCTCTCGGGGGACGCCTCGTGCGGCGGCGGGGGGTCGAGCGCGGTGCGCGGGCGCGCGTGGCGGGACAGCGGGCGCGCGCGCGGCCGCGGCGCCCCGGCGCGCGCCGGCTCCAGGCGCAGCGCGCGCAGGCGGAAGGGCGAGGGCGGCGTCGGGAACGAGCCGTCCGCGGAGCTCGGGAACGGCACCGAGCTGAGGTCGGACACGTGCAGCGGCGACCAGGGCGTCCAGGCGGCCGCCCAGGGGGGCCAGGGCGGCCACGGCGGCCAGTGCAGCGCGAGCGCGGGCGAGGAGGCGCGGAACAGCGGCGGCGCGGCGGCGGGCCGCAGCGGGGCGCGCACGCGCGGCAGGAAGCCGCCGTCGTCGGAGGAGGAGGGCGCGGGCGAGGGCGCCGGGGAGGGCGCGGCGAGCGCGGAGGGCGCGGGCGACACGCGCCGCACCGAGCTCCAGTAGTGGGCCTCTCCGCCGCATCGCGAAGCCGGCCATATCCAGTTCGCGGTGAACCGTAGACACTGGACTATACTCGATATTCCGCGTTCTCTAAATCTATGGGTTTGAGAGGGATATCGATGAGATAATAATAATAATTGATACAAAAATCAAATCAATAAAACAAACGCATAATCGTAATCAATATAAACAAAATACTAACTTATTGGTTATTGAGAAAAAGTTATTAAAATGGAAAATATTATTTAAACAGTAGTTTACCACTTGTAGCTCACTGACCTGATTTCCTGAAGTAGGTAAGCGTATAGGAAATGACAATTAGATCACAATGTTTTGGACACGTTTGTTATGGCATAAAGAGTAGAGGCCTTGAAACCTCTTGTAAGATATTGACTTGGTGTTTACTCACTTCTTAAAAGGCACTTGAGTGCTGTCGGCGGCGCGCAGGTCTGTGAGCCGCGCGGCTACCATGTTGTATGCTGCAACCGGATAATTTCTGAACATTAACGCGGGTAGAGAGTCAGTTCCCCAGCCCCCAGCCGCCGCCCGCCACCGGCGCGATCCCGCCACCTACCCCCTCACCAACCATATTGTCAAAACAAGCAACCACGTAAGAGGAATATACTCGTTATATATTGTATTGATATACCAGGTGTATAAAAATCCTTCTGATCAAAAAAGAGGTGTCTGGTGCTCTACCAACATGGAAAGCTCAAAATATAAATGATAAATATTGAGTTTTCAATATTAGTCCCATAAAAAATTGATTTGACCACCAGTGTGCCTACCATGAGTTTACGTTAGGTGAGTTCGCTAGCGAATACGTCAAAAAATTCTATGAAGGTCTTATTTCTTGAAAGTAGCCACTAGGGGCGCTGCACAATATGTCATACATTTAAATGTCATTTTTTTACGCAGTCGCTAGCGAGCACACCTAACGTAAACTCATGGTAGGCACACTGATCAGCCCCTTTTGATGGAATACGTTGTTTACGCTACGTTTAATACATATTTATTTAAATCATAGATAACTTTATTTACTGCCGAGTATATTCCTCCTCCATTTGGTGATCAATGTAATAATGATTGAAATGAGCTTGCAACTTTGACATAATGAAAACATTGAAAAAGTCAGGGCCTTACCAAAAGTTGAACGCGCGTTGAACTCTATTGAAATTTCATCTTAAACCAGTGTTCAACTCGCGTTTAACTTTTTGCGTTAATGGAATAATATTAAAAAATTGTGAATAACACTTTAACAAGAAGCAGAACATGTCAATGGGTAAAGAATAAGAATGACAAATGAAATAATTCATTGTTCAATGAGTTACGTGATTTCGTCAAATAAATTGTCAATTATAAAGCTAGAAGCTGGCTTATAAAAGGCGATAACTTTTATTTTATTTAAACTACTAATGGTAATAACTGCAAGCGTTTTTTTAAATAGGCGACAATAGGCCAATACAGTAGCGTCGACCTGCCGATTCAAGAATTTCGGGAATACATCCGTCTACTGCCGGACTTTTTTGGATAACTGGTTAACCCACTAATATTAACACAAGAATATTGTACTTTGCGCTAATTTGGAGGAAAAAACATTACATTTTCTTTGGACGACTCTACCAAAATTTATTAACCTTGGATGTTTAACATAATTTTGTTCAGCTATCCGTAACTCCTGTTACAAAGTTTGCTGACATTATTTAAGAAAGAGTTTTAAAAATAAAAAACATCGACAATTTACGGCTACACCATAAATAAATGCAATGTCCCAAACTCGTAACTCTACCACTGAATCGATTTTTAATACATAATTCGAATTATACAGAAAAAGTTAATATTTGAAAAATATTGCGCTTATGTAAATTGCATTAACATCAATGCAATTGTTAATACGATCGACAGGTTTCCAGTACCTCTAGTAGGAAAAACTTTCGAGTTCGTTTCGTTGCGTATTCAAAGTGTCATCGAAAAATTTTGTATGAAAAATTAAACAGCGCCCCCTAGGGCGGCTATAATATAGGGGGCGCTGTTTAATTTTTCATACAAAATTTTTCGATGACACTTTGAATACGCAACGAAACGAACTCGAAAGTTTTTCCTACTAGAGGTACAGAACGAATAACTATAACTTAAAACTGTCATTCGTATTCGGTAACATAACCATACCTAATGTAAAATATGGAAACAAATAAAACCTACCTAATTTAATTATAGTAGGAACATGTAAACGTACATTAAAAAGCGATATTAATGTTAATGCATGCAAAAAGCACAACCAAGCCGGGTACATCTAAACGACGATTACAGCCGCGTACAAGACAAGGCAAAGCATGAATATGCAGATGCTTTGCTCGCTCACGACAATATGGTAAGTTATGTTAAGTTACCATCCCATGACGATAAAATTTCGATGTTCTTGTCTACAGACAGGCAGAGTTATCGCTTGCATCGATTGTTACTGGTGCTATGAAATATTAAAGAGTCAGTATTACGGAGGCATTAGATAACATATTTTGCACGTTTAGTCTCGTAAGTCCTACATATCTATGTGGTTAGTGGCTTGAGATATAATCAAGGATCTATTAATATTAATATGCTATAAACATATGTATATTCAAGACACAGGTTTTATAATAAAAGCAGCGCTGTTGTTTCGCTTTCAAGAAAAAGTGCGAGTGTCATCATACTTTAGTTACAAAAGATAAAGTAGGTACGCTAAACTTTTCTTTAACTGAAAGTTAATCTCGAGATCTGAAAACTGACGTTGGTTTGTGTGCTTAATTAATACCGCAGACACAGTTACTTAATAGTGTATTTCAGCTGAATTTGGAGAATGTGTGGGACAACAAGAGGGGCAGTTAATTGTGTATTCAGCTGAAATTTGTGTATGTGTAACCCGACAAACGTGTCAGCAGCCGACTTTAGCCGAGTAACAACCGAGCAAGCGCTTGGGCCGGGTGTCGCGCGGGCGGGCGGCGCTCGGCCGGTCACTCACCTTTCTCCTGTTTGCGGCGCTTGCGCTTGTTGCAGATCTTCACCGCGCACACGGACAGGATGATGGCTACGATGAAGAACAGGATCCCGCCGACCACGCCCGCTGTTATCGCTTTGTGCTTCACCCGCGCGGGCACCGGGAACTTCACCTCTTCGGAACTCTCGTAGCTGGTGGCCGAGTTGGCCAACACTCTGAAGTAGTACGTCCGACCGCCGACTAGATTCTTAACTGGAAGTAATTGATATATTGATGTATTTCGGGGTAACTACTTCACCTACAAGTCAGTTACATCGATGTATCCATTGCCCTGATGCTTTGAGACTTAAAATAACAAATGTAGAGCATTTTTTTAAACCAGTCATTTAGACTTAGTCTTTTCGGCATCTTTCTTAATGTTTGTAAAATGTTTTAGAGAAGAATAACTTTTAAGCAAAAGAATACTGACGGATACGCCGCGCACGCTTCTAATAGGAACGCGGTTTGTGATACGTGTAAAATCCTCAATCATCTGTGTTCAAAAACGCTGACTGTCCAACTTCTACCTATAATGACCATCTGTGTTATTATAAAGAAAGTATTATACCCTTACCCAAATAGCTCGTCTCCTCGGGGCGGATCTGCCCCCGGTTGAGCGTCTTCCATTGCGCGTCGGTGCGGTACTTGATGGTGTAGTACTGCACCAGGTGCGCCCGCTCCAGCGGCGCCTGCCACGTGATCAGGAACCCGTTGTGCACCTCCGTCACCGTCAGGTTCCGAGGCGGACCCGATTTGGGACCTATGTTTATTGAAACGAATGTTACACTTTGGAGTTTCCACGAAAACTTGCCGAGTTCAGTTTTGGCAACTTGCAACTCGATTGTCGATTGTTTTAGACTAATTTCGTCAAAACTATCTATTCACATGTGTTAATGTGAGCCCATATATATCTGTATTTTTTTGTAGAGTTTACTTAAAACTTTTTCCAGTATTATTGAATCCGTTAAACAGTCGATTGTTAAAGTTACCAGTGTGGATGATGGCAGCAATGTTAACAACATAACACTAGCAATTATTGAAAAAAATCGAGTACATAATCTCAAAATCGACCATTCAACGTAATGTTGCCCTCATTTCACCCGCTCGTATAACGTGTTTGATTGAAAATTGAGATTTTTTATGAAAATACAATGTTGCTAAGTTTATATCATGTCATAAAAAATCTTTCATTCTAACAGATCTATTTCATGGGGTAAGTGCAGATGAAATGTAGTCACGACAAGTGAAGCGCGATCTACTCACATACCTTCCTGCAGGACATTGGACAACACTGGTTGAAATGTTGTAAGTAGGTAATGATCCTGCAGGTAGGATGCTTGTAGGATTCCTGCGTGAGAGATTAAGGATGATTAAAATGTAGCAAGATAAAAACAAAAAAAAATATGTTGGTGCCTATGGTAGGTATTTCTCGTACTTGTAACAGATGATGAAAATTAAAATGAACTAGAAATAAAACTAAATGGAACTAAACCATACCATGCAAACAAAAACTCAGTAGCGAAACTAAAACTACGGGTGTAAGTTAGTAAGCAATTGAAGTGGTAGGTAAGTAAGTACCAGAGCCTTCGGGTGCGTTCTGAAATATCTTTTCGTCTACGGGCCCCGGAGGCGTGGGCGCCGCCTTCGGCTTGGCGCCTACATCTACGGAAAGCAATGCACGGTTAGCACTATGTACTGCACCATCCTCGCACCTGAAATACTTGTAACAACCTAATCAAATACATTTTATACATAGATAAATATACCCGTAACAGGCACTGTTAGATATTGATTCTTAACAGGCTTAGTTTATATGCTCGATTAGGCTGCCAATAAAAATTGCTAACTTTTCTGGAGGAGAAATTATTCAAGATCAAGAAAGTGATCTTAATGGTATTTAAGTGAAAAGATTTACAGATTTAGATAAAAAGTTATAAAAATATTTATAGGAGGAGGACTATTTAATAACAATGAGCCAGTTTTTTACGAGCATCGTCGCTATTGATAAAATATGAATCACAGCTGCTAATATTTAAATTCCTTGAGCACTGCCCAAAAACAACCAATATTAGTGTACACAAACTACCTTCACCATGATCGTTATTGCATTGTAAAACTTACCTAACGTTCTGATTGTGATCGCTTTGCTCATCATGCCTTCGCCGATCGTGTTCTTGCTGTTCACCTGGAACTCGTACGTGGTCCCTGGCTGCAGCCGATTTATGGTTACCTTCAATAGCAAAACATCATACATTAGAATCAGGGTTAGATTTTTGGCTTATTAGTTTTAAAATAATAACATGAAAAGGCACTTTGGATAATATTTGCTCTCCTTAGAGAAACGTGATAATTAGTAGGTATGATTTATTTGTCCGTGTTATGAAATAACACTCTACAAAGTAAGTTAAGAATGTTGTACAGTCAAGAATAGAACCAAACCAACTGAAGTGAACCTCTGATTTGTTTCAATCTTGTACTAAAACCAATATCACAGGCTGAATTTATGTTTGATATTGAATGAAGTATTGGATTTGGAAGTGTTTCACTTTATTTAGGGGGTTCATACAACAAAATTAGACAATTAGGGTAAATTTTTTCAATCGCCAGTTAACATAATTTATCTTATAAATCAGTTTAGCATATAGAAATCCTTATAGATATTAGGGAGAATGACAATTTTATTCTTCAAAGTTATCCTATGATTGAAGAATCAGCCCTTTTAAATGATGAAATTTAAATGTCTTTTGAATTACCTATAAATATGCAAACATCCTAATAACTATAGCTAAAAGACGCTGGTAGAGTCAAACATCGTTTTTGTTCTTACCGAGGTAGCTCCCGACGGCGTGACCGGCACTTTGGTCCACTCGGAGAAGCCAGCCTCCCGGTACCAGATGGTGTAGTCCTGCTTGTAGTCGGGCCCGCCCGCGTAGCCGGGGTGCCACCGCAGCGTGACCTGGAACTCCGTGGCGGTGCCCGACACGTTGTACGGCGCGTGCGGCTGCGTGCCCTCGATCACCAGCTGCGTGTCCGCTACTATCGTGGCGACCTGACAGTGAGCAGTCCTTTGCCGTTAACACTTGGACACATTGCAGCTTCGGATAGTTTTTGTTGCGAGTGTACGCGCCGTTGTTTTTTTTATCTTTTATTTAAACACTAAGTAGGTATAATTTTTATTTTTATTTATACACGAATTTAATAAATACTAGATTTTAAGAAGTTGTTTATCCATAAATATAGTTTTCCAAATAAAATAAAATAGGATATTACCATAACACTTTGAAAGCGTCTTATGAAATAAACTTAAAAAACAATAATAATGGAATCAATGATTTAGGTAGGTAAAAATAAAAATGATAGGATCTTGAATTACATTTTTGTTCACTGACAATCATATCGCAAGCGCGGAATCTAAATTGTTTGGCATTTTATAACATTTGTACACAGAGTTTATTTTTTCTTCTGGAAGTTCATCTTCTGGGGGACGATGCATTGGTAGTTGCTGAATTGATGCTGTGGTCGATATTATGTCGATAAGGTCGATAAGTTCTCTTGTGTCTCTTGTCTCTGTTCTGGGCTATATCCTGAAAACTAGAGCTAATCCAACTGGAACATTGGGCATACCTCGTTGGAAGCGACGCACTGGTAGATGCCGAAGTCCTGGCGGCGCAGCGTGTCGATGGTGATGTTCCCGCCCAACGCTCGTACTCGGCTCTTCTGTAGAGGCAGGCCGTCCCGCCGCCGCCATTGCACGCTTGGACGCTGCGTGCCTTCGGCCTCTTGAGCTTCACAGTGCATCTCTACTGACTCGCCGACCTGCATTGACAGCCATGTTTTAGTTGTTGTACCCTACTAAAAGTTTTGAGAAAATTCTAAATCAAATCATCTTGATGTAAATACAGTCAAAAGCACATGTGCCCTTGATGTTCTTTCTTTCTGTGATGTGAAGTCATAAGAATAGATCTAGGCTAGGACACAGCGGTCGATAATCTGATTAGTGTCTTGACGCAGATAAAATCAAAGAAGGGGAAAATGGCATTTTTTTTTCTAATATTAACAACTTATGTTTATATTTTACCTTTCTCTGGTACAAAGGTTCTGGTTCCACGGTAAATGCTGGAGGTTTTCGTACTAGCACTTCCATGGGACCTGCATAGAAAAAACAATTAGAACGATTTCTTCAATGGTTTTATTACAGAGAAGCATCAATATTCAACTTACCCGAAGAACCCTGAGTCCCCTGAGCATTATAGGGGGTACACGTGTACCTGCCCTGGTGGTTTTGGTTGACGCGAGTAAACAACAACGACCCATTGTTCATTATAACTATATCCTTCGTCTGATACGGCTCAAGCAATCGCTTGTCTTTCGTCCACGTTACATACTGAAGTGGTGGGTTTGCTTTTATATAGCACTGCACTACGCCCGCTAACCGAAACGGCAAATATTGCACTGTAGGTGTGAATGTCACTTTAGCTGGATCTGCAAGGAAGTAATACAATATTTAGATGCTGCACAACTAAAATTAGTCATGTTTAGGGCTCTGTTCTCATTAGAAACCCATGTCGGCATCACCAATCGCGCCACCAACAAATATACAGTTAGGTATATAAAAGGTACCGCACATTTAGCGTCAGCTTGGTTGAGCAATCAATTTGTTGCTGGCGACCGAAAAATTTAGAGCCTATTCGGTATACATATTGGATATCCCAAACAACGGGTGTCATGGTCATGATCAGTGGCGCCACCATGGTGTTTTAATGAGATAGGGACCTTAAAGTTAGGTATATTGGTCTTACATTCAACATTTAGATACGCAGATGCGCTCTGCGGGTCCCCAATTCCGTTGGAGACCTCGCAGAGGTACTGCCCCGAGTCATCGGCCGCCACCGGATTGATGACGAGGGCGCCATCCCTTCGGATGGTGACCCTCGTCTCCAGGGCCGCCACCTCCGCCACTGGCGCCCCCTCGCGGAACCACTTCACGGTCACGTTGCCCGGCAGCGCTTTCGCCTCGCATGAGAATTGGACCTTCTCTCCTTCTAGCTTCGTCTGATTCGTTGGTGGCATCTAGAAATAGAATTCGGAGTTATTTGTGTACGTACATATTTTAATTATGGCTGGTGTATCGTTACATGAAGACACAAAGTGGCAAAACAAGAGCATAGAGCGCAGATGAAGTAGGATAGGAGATACACCTGATTTGCCACATAATGTCAATTGTTTCGATTTAATGCTTCGATTTCGGTTAGTCACAGGTACCTATGCTCTATCTATCACACGTCGATATTAGTAATATCATGCCTGGAATTTTCAGGATCAAAGTATTTTTTGCAGAGATCATTTCTTTAGATGTACCTACAAACAAAAAGGTTTGAAAGTAGAGACAGACTCATTTACCAATGGACGTAGTACTCACAGTGATGACCGCGCCTCCAGCGATGATGACGCGCGCGGTGTGCGACACCTGGCCCTCGCCGTTGCGCGCGATGCACGTGTAGTCGCCGATGTCCTCGTGCCTGATGTTGCTGATGCGCAGCTCGGTGCCGTCGTTGAAGATGCCCACGGTGCCCGACGGCTCCACCGGGTTCGCATCTTTGTACCATAGGATCTCGGGCGTGGGCGTGCCCTCCGCCTGGCAGTTGAGGATGATAGCGTCTCCTGAAAAAATACTTTTTGTTTATCTAAAGCGATAATAATCCCATGACAGCATCGGACTGCCCATTCAAGGGTCGCTCTCGAATCACGTTCGATCCCCATTATTGCTGGACTATCGTAGTTAGTGAACCCCTCTAATAGGCCGTTTTTTTAAGTAATGAAAAGAAAACTTATTTAATCCAGCAACTTTACAGGAGTTTAATTAGTTTCGAGCTGCTTCGGGTGTCGTTTATAGGGGCCCAGTTAGGGCCCAGACTAATAAGTATTAAGTGTCATTTAGTTGCTAACTTTAACATCATAAGAGCTCATTTATTTATACCAATCGATTTATTCAGTTTTTAAACAAACAACGTATATTTGTAGTAGGTATATTTCCTACTATTAGATCTAAAATATTTGTTTCCTCAATCGTAGACGTTACATCAATAAAGTGACGTTTTCCCGGTGCGTATCAGATCTGAAATCGTCTCCAAAACCGTGAGCGACTTGTGACATCGACATTCGAATGGATAAAATTAAATAATTGAATAATTTCTTCAACTTGTCTCCAGGGTTGTTTCTTATCGATTGAACAGAGTTTGCTTTGTTGTTCCGTATCAAAAGAAACATTTATTTAGGACGTAATTTATCTTTGTCTTCGTTATTATTACATTCACACAACTGCTGAAGGAGATTTTGTTGGGATTGTTTAATGTTTGAAGATATACTTATTCCGAGATACGAAAATAGAGGGTGTCATGGAAATGCGATCTGTTTTTGGAAAGGGTTAGGTATAGTAGAGATGATTTGTGACAAATGTAACTAGTCTCTACCAAACAGAAGTGGATTTATATTTTTGAAACAGTTGGTTTTACGCTCTCAAACTGTCTGCTTGATTGACCACGGCTGTAGCTGAGACTTCAAGCTATTTGTACTTATCTAGGTATTAATTACATTATAGGTACTTAGTTTGTCGTGTTTGAGACCCATGCCATCACCACAGAATAAATACGGTTTTACATTACTTAGATATTTTATCTTCTTACCTAAATTAACGTATATAATCTCTTCCGGTGTGATGGAGAAGCGCGGTGGCGCGTGCACGTCGAGGTGGAACCACGTGCCGTTCTTGTGCTGGTTCGGTGACCGGTTGAGGAACACCACCTTACACTCGTACCAACCCTGGTTGTAATAAATCACTCACAGTTGTAACAATTTTCAAGAAAACAAATTACACGGTGTGTATTTTTTATACTTCAAGCAAAAGGAGTTTTTTTTTTCTACAAACAAATAATAAATATTATTGAATGATCAAACGAACTTACCAAGTGAAGTTCGATCTAAATTATCCTGTTTTCGCCGAAGAGATTTATTTTACCATGTAGTACCCCTGTACGACAACCCAATCCGCACACAATATTCAGCGTAGTAGTATTAAAAAACAAAAGAGCGGGCAACCCCACCCCTACCACGCTGTGGGCTCGGTGTCCGAGCGGTCTCATTATATTTAGAGAAGAGATGACATTGACGTTTACCTCCAGGGAAGAAGATATAGAAATCTTCGGGTTGGGAGGGACCTTAAATCTCTTCGGCGAAAACAGGATAATTTAGATCGAACTTCACTTGGTAAGTTCGTTTGATCATAAAAAATGGCTACTGGTTAACATCGCGCGTTAACTTGGAGCTAAAAATGGGTCAAAGTTACGCGTCGTGTCACAACGCTTATAATAAAAATGTACGAGCACTTGCACAAAATAGTTGTTACAACCAACCTTTTGTTGGGTCTAATTCTCGTCACTACACTGCACAACTTAAAATAATTACGTTTTTTGTCGGTAAAAACGTCCTGGTGACGTCACTTAAGCATTTTTCTTATACTGCGTGCGGTCGTTGCGCGTGCGCACAAAGGAATGAGACCGCTCGGACACCGAGCCCACAGCGTGGTAGGGGTGGGGTTGCCCGCTCTTTTGTTTTTTAATACTACTACGCTGAATATTGTGTGCGGATTGGGTTGTCGTACAGGGGTACTACATGGTAAAATAAATCTCGGAGGCGAAAGCAGGATAATCTAAAAAGTAGCCTCAAATCTTTAGACTTATTCTATGATCTGTGCCACAAAAGCTTAAAAAAGTTACAATTTAATCAAACGCAAACAAAAAAGAATCGACAAAAAAATTGTTTTTAATTTTAGTGGCCAGGTTCAAAAGTCTAAATAGTTTTAACAAACTTTTTTTTTATTTTTCGAAAAGTAAGTAGGGTAAACCACCCAATCATTGGCACTCTACCAATTTATTGGCATGCTCCAGTTTTTTAAGAAAATTAAGGTTTTTTGGAACCAAACCTTATATTTTTTAGTAGAAATTGTACAGTAATATCATTTATTACTCAACTGGCTACACACGTTTTTTATTTTTTCAAACATCGCGGCGCATCAACCATTTGTTTGACAAACCGCGACCTGTGCGAAAAAAACAATCGAAATATTCGTTTTTTACTAAGGTAAGAGCTATCATAATCTTTTAAAAAAATGCAAATCTATTTTGTTGTCCCTATACATAATCATTTTGTCTTATTATTGAATATATTAACTGCCTTTTTAAAACATTATTTTATAATTTAACCGCCAACTTTTAATTATTTGTGGTGTGCCAACATTTGGTATGCGTAAAATCTGTTTATCCATTTTATTGGCACACATGCCAATAAAAGGGTATTTAAAATAATTTTAGTTTATTAAAAATTATACCTTGTTTGTCTCAAAATTTAGTTTAAATTGCATTTAAAATATTTTTTAAGGTTTTGGATACACCAATCCAAATGTTGGCCCACTGCCAATTATATAAAATCCATTTATTGGCACGGGTGTCAAACATTGGTTAAAAAGGTGCCAATAAAAAATATTATCTTTTCAGCCACTTTCAAAGCCTTTCAAAGTCTTATTCCACTAATCCCCGTTGACAATCCCCGTCAACGGGGATTAGTGAACTTTTTGTTCATTAATTCCCGTTAACGCCAATGGAGTTTACGATGGGGATTAATGAACTAAAAAGTTAATTAATCCCCAGTACGTTAAAAATAAAATACTCACGTAAGAATCAGGTACCTTCTATTTATTACTAGATAAGAACTCACTTATTATTTTTATTATCAAATTAAATTAAATTTAAGACTGATTACAATACTTAAAAAAAATAACACTTACCTGATTAACCAAAAGCACTATGGATATTGAATCGTTAGTCCCCATTCATCATTTAAAAGAAGATGGAGACGAATACATACAAATTTGGGCCAAGATGAACAAGATAAAAATGGTGTAAATTAATAGCTTTGTAATCAGGCTTAAATTTAATTTTATTTTATTTTATTATAAAAATAATCAATAAGTGAGTTCTTATCCAATAATAAATAGAAGGTACATGATTCATACATTAGTATTTTATTTTTAACGTAGTTTTCTGAATATAGAAAAATAAAATAAACTAAAAAGTTCATTAATCCCCATTATAAGCTCCATTGGCGTTAGCGGGGATTAATGAATAAAAAGTTCACTAATCCCCGGGATTAGTGGAATAAGGCTTTGAAAGTGGTACCACGGTCTACTATACAATTCAGATTGAAACATCCTGATCATCGCTCTAAGCCCGGTCCGTTCACAATTTTAACTGACGAGGAAGAACAGCTTTTTGTTGACTGGATAAAATAAAAATCAGTAACAAAAAAGAATTTCCGAAGAGAAAAGAAGATTTGATAAAAGTGTTTATGGAAAGTTTAAAACCATATTTAAATATAAGCGTTTGAACTGATATGGTATGTTCCTATACAAATAAATGTTACTTTTCTTATAACAAGGGATTTTATTTTGTTTATTTCTATCATGAATCTCTTTAAAACCTCTACATAAGACCTAGCAGCTATTTTTCAGTCTTGCGAGAACAGTGCCAATAATAGGTAATTATCACTGCCAATAAAAGGTTTGGCTATGCCAACAACTGGTATTTTGAGGTATTTTTTTAAAAGGTACACTATATTGAATAAATGATTTAATTTATTAATGATAAGTACTTTATAATATTCTGCAAAGATTAAAAGACCAATATAAATGTTTTTTTCTTTGATAAAACATATTTTTACATGCAAATTTTACCGGTTTTGTGAAGTAGCTGCTTAAAGTGCCAATAATTGGGTGGTTTACCCTATCTAATAGAAACTGCCAGTCTGGAGTTCTGGACATTACATAATTTTAAATGTAGAAATTAATTTTTGACATAATATTATAGACATTTCCTAAGGCAATTTCTTTTGTTGAACATTTTCTCCTTAGTTTAAAATGAAATATTTTCAGTGATTTTAGATATAATTAAGCGGTTACCTAAACGTTTCCTAACCTTTTCTCCCACACCGTTGTGGCTAAACGCAAACCGCGAAAGGCAAGAAAAAAAAAAGTGTAGGTATAGTTATGGTGTACCTACCTGGTCGGATTCGCGGATATTGGTGAGGTTGAGGCTAGCTGCGCCATATGGGGAGTCGGGCGCGACTCGCGACACCCTTCCCTCGTACCCCTCCCCGCTGTGCGTTGGGTAGCTCTCGTACCAGATGTAGATCGGGATGTCCTGTCCCTACGCAAAACGTCAAGTCAGAACCGGGACTCCACTGGCGCGCCGTAACAACTACTACTTACATTACACTAACTACAGACTTACTCTCCCATGTCTGGTCAAGTAACGCTACCTCCTCACTAAGTACGACTCGCACGTGACAAACATCGAAACGTTCCTCCTATATCTTGTAACAGCAAAGCAAGACGTTACGACATAAACACGGAACAAACAACAAACAAAGATTGATTGGATGCTTACATTGGAAAGAATTTGCTGTAACAAGATTTACATTCTCTACAAGCTACTTACGTTATATTAACAACATGCAAGGAAAAAGAAAATGAACAATGAGTTTCATCAAATGAGGCTACACAAATTTTACTTATACACATTGGAGAAGATTTCCCAAAGCTTCTGTCGTACGATCTTGATTACCTCAAATGTTCTACATTGAAATAATTTGCATGCAAATTATAAAACATGAAATAAGCTACACATGCATAGATTTAGATATGTTTTTGTTTGTGCAGATATTATTAAATGTAAAAGGGTCGTAAATATGTACTGGTACATGAAGCTACGTTTGCAGAAGAGCGTGGGTGAAGCCCACAGCCACAGGAAGAGAGAAACAGACAGAACCGCCGCCAGTGCGCGAGGGAGTGCGGTGCCCCGTGTCAGCCGTGTACAAGCGGAGTGCTCCCGGAACTATCTCAGAACAAAACGAATTGGTGCACCCAAAGAAAACTTAATTATAGGTACTTATTGGAAAAATCTTATCGTATATGTAAAGTGGCAGTGTTATGTGTACATGTTCGTCTAACGGGGGTCTGCTGCTCTCTCGGACTCGCTTTGAAGGCCTTTGTCACTGTGGTGTACGTGTCGACCGGTCGTTTGGGCGAGCGCGGTTGGTACACGAGGCAATACGCAGAAGAGGCAGATACACAAAAGGCGTGCGGAGGGCGCGCGCGGGGCGAGGGCGTCGGGGCGGAGCCCCCGGCCCGCGGCGCCCGCGCTTTACCACTACCACGGACAATAAGAGGTGTCGAAGCCGACACGGCACGTCAACATATACTTTACAGTCTGCGAGGCGCGTCGCGCGGACGAGCCGACCTCTACTGAACAGAAACACACACGGTAGATGAGCAGCGTTGTATTGTAAGAGTGGAGTGTGGGCCGTCGTACCGTTTCGCCTACCTTCTTCTCCCACTGCAACACGTACGGCACCGGGATGTCTTCAGGAAAGTCCACCTGGCAGTTGAATACGACGCTTTCGCCGAGGATTGCCGTGATGTGCACAGCATCTTGGTGGTCTTGGTGGCAGGTCACTGGCACAAGAGAAAGATATTCTCAGTTTTGGAATAAGTAGCTTATATACAAAAGTAAAGTTTTGTAGTAACATCTATTTTATACTGATCCGTGCTATACTGGCTATACCTGCTACAAAATGTAGATTGAAGTCATTAATTGGATGCATTGTCTTCAATACAATTACCACGAGTATCACAACTGGAACATTTTCATTTAATTACACTCGTGGTGCAACATGATGCATTTGATACTGGCAGCGACGCCAGCCATGTGTGAAGTAGGTACAGTCCATTATTTCATGTCATGGCCACGTTGAACCACTTATTCCCAGCATATACGAACAGTTTAGTGTCAAGTTGAAATATTATGCTAAACAGAAATTCTTGTCGAGTGTTTACTCAAATAGATGTTGGAAGGCCTCAGCTATAGGTACCTACCTCTATCTTACTAAATAAAACTAACATAAGCTAGTTTAGCTGTGTTTCTATCAATATTTTCAGTTCTAACCATGTAATAAGACTATGCCATGAATTTATATTTACTACTACGAGTTTCTTAGTAAATAATTTGATTTTGCTTAATGTTACTGACGTCGAGATTTCGCCTACATAATATCATTCGTGGAAAACGTGACGCCCACCCGCAACTTCAAATTTCTGAGAAGATCCTAATTCTCATAGGAACTGCTTGGACTATAAGTAGGTACCTACTGCTGGTCTGCAGTTCAGTCATTATGGGCCTAGTTAATGGCGTTACGACGGGAATATTACCACCTTTTGTTTTCGGCAGAACTTCTTTATGGCTTGACCATTACTAACATAGGTTAAGTCCTTTATAACTAACAAATAATGAGTCATGTTACTTGAATAAATAAATTATATTATTATTATTATTATGTTTGTACGCTTTGGAGCTCACGGGTCAAAAGTGGCCCGGTCCTTTATGAGGCTTGCGTGGGGATACAGATCCAACACGTAGAGGCCGTTTTAAGCGCAAAATAATCGACACAAGTGAAAGTGGTGCACATGCTGGATCTAGTCTCTGACTATATCATGGGATGTAGCCAGAGACCAGCCCCAGCCTGTGCACAGGAGCTATTGCAGTTATTGGAGAATGGACTAGGGTTATGGATGAGGGATGGATGGACTGGTTACTGGGCTATGGATGGAGACTACGGGACACCTGCCTGGTTCATAGTCTCGGACTGAAAAAATGGCAGGCGGTGACTAGCCAGCGACTAAATGGGCCCCCCCTGGCGTCATGGGTCGTATAGACCGGACTGAGGGGCAACATTGGCGTCTGCCAGCTCAGGGGTGTAGAGAGGTGTGCTGCGCTTTCTCCGAAGTTACTCGCGGCGTTATGCCCTTTAACACTTCCACCCCTGGAGCATATAGCTCTAGCGACTCCACTCTGGCCGGCCGGTTAAGGCAAGCCAGAGGTGAAAGTCCTGCAGACCCTCTCGGATTCCACTTCGGCAAGCCGAAGACGAGGGTCTTGACCGACTCTCGGGAGCACTCGGATTAACAACTGGCCCCGTGGTGTCGCTACTCACCAACAGCTCGCCACAAAGCTGCCCTGCGGGGCTATTATTATTATTATTATTAACTTAAATTAGAACTAAAGCATTTAATTTTTCCCACCCTTGCCACGGATATCGTAAAAGCCGACTATGGCCTTATCCGTCTGGCCGGATAGTATGGAGAGTTTAGGCCAAATCCTCCATTTTGCTTCTGCTAAATTAGAGACACGTGGTCCTGTAATGGAGACTAAATAACTTGATGAGTTTGTGCTAAGATGTGTGGTTACCTTGCGTATTGTGGTTGCAGGGAAGCGCTGGACGCAGGCCGCTACCAATCGATCAACATGGAAAGCATTGGGGGAGGCCTATGTTCAGCACTGGACGTCCTACGGCTGAAATGATGATGTGATGTGTGGTTACCTGGCAGGTTAACTAGCAGCAGGAGGAGCAAGCCGGCGGCGATGTGCGGCGGTGCCACGGCGCGCCAGCCCATGCCTGCGCTCCCATGTCACGGCCGCGCACGGCGACTCATCGTTGATGCATCACCTGCCGGCAAAGGGTACTTATAACATTTTTGATTCTAATATCTAAACAGTTTCTTGTAAAAGATGTAATGGTGTATCGACTATCGCTACTGCACTGTGCAGAGTCGGTATGTAGTAAGCTTCAGATCTTTTATATTATTCAGGATATTCGTCATACAGGTATCACCAATAGTAACTTTGCCCTAATAATCACAGACCCCTTTCTATGTTTGAGCGAGTTCAAAATAATGTAGGTGTGAGAATTTATGTGAGAAGAATATTCAGAGTAACTAAAATGTTGAAATCAACCACGTCCGAACGAACACTATTGGGAGATTCGTTATCTAGACTTTCTGATTGCACAATGCACATAATATTTTGTTGGATGCATACAGTACGTGTATGAGTAATACCTACTGAAAATTCTTGATCGTCACTTTTCAGTAAATATAAATCGTGTAAATGTCAGACTTGCATTTTTTGTTGAAAGTCTGATGCATCAATCATGTATCGTGAGTTTTGCAAATCACTGAAACAAAGCTTCGTAAGGGTAAGTTACTAGATACGGCTGGTGTGGTATCTGTTGTAGGGTGGGTGGCCTTTGGATCAAGATTTGTCCTTGGTCTATTTTCATTTACCGAGCAAGTAATTGCACTGCATCACGACATATAATCGACCTACCCACACCACGGCTGCCTGTATATTCAGACTCGTCAAGCCTTCACCGAGTAGGTACGTAATCAGCTTATCGATTTATACCTGCTTAATGCTTATGAAAGCAACCTCGACGTTGTGTTATTATTGTGATGGTATGCAAAAGCTTATAATCGGCAATAGTTTAGAACTTTAGTCGTTAATAAATAAGTAGAACTGAAGTTGCGCTCAGAGGTAAGTAATAATAAATAGTAAGATTTTAGAAAGTCTATTTTCCAGGTCAATCGTATTAAAATAGAAATAACTTTTCCTTTACTTCCCGTGGAGTAATTTCCAAGTAACATTGCTACACAATTTTTCAAGCTATCCAAGTGCCCTACTGCGTAAAAGTAAATTGTATTTTCAAAACATTAACCACATGATGCAAAATGATAAATGTGTTTTGGTAGATTTACTTTCGTACACTTAGGTTTGTCGCTATACAACTTGAAATGTCAGGGAGCCATTAAAATATCCTTAGATGTTAGAAGAGGGGTCACGATGGGAGTTTCCCGGTTTGTTGACGGCTGCTCGCGAATTTTCCTTGATATGGTTGGACTAACACCTGTCCGTTCCGGTTTGTCAGTGTGTACTTTCCAGCCAGACCCGTATTTAAACTTTCATATGCTTTGTAGAATTTGTGGGCTAAATGTAAATAACTTGACCATGAAGAAGGGGTGGGTGTCTATTGGCGAAAAGTAGTACTCTTATAGACTTTATAAGTTATTTTTCTGCATATTTACAATTTAACCAACTTGGTTATATGTATAGCGAAACCATATTAATATAAATACGAAAGTAAATCTGCCTGTTATCTTTTTTTTAGGCATAAAACTGATTTAGATGAGAATTAACAATTGAAACCCAGGAAGAAATATAGGATAGTTTTTATTCCGGTTTTTGAAACGGGAAATCGCGCGTGATTGTCTTTTTGTGATAATCAAAAAACTTACTCTATTTCGCAAAATACACACAATTTCCTTAGAGTTTTGGTACACTTTGGACTTCCCTGACAATTTCAATACTCAAATATTTATTGATAAACCTGAGTGATAAACATAATGTTACCTATATAACACGTAGAGACATTAATCTAGTCTTAAACAAGTGATTGTACTCGTAGTATATTCGATAAAATATGTTCCTACAGGATCATAAAATTTTACAATTATGTTCTGCAATAACGGAAAAAAATAAAACCCTTTAGTTAAAATATAGATTGTTAGGTACTTAAAAACCAAGATTAAAACATTCATCACACTATCAGATCATTTAAAATAGTCCATAAATATTAAACTTAACTTGTCATACGAGTATATGCAGTTTCAAAGCATCTTATCACTTCATCAAGTCAACTACGAGTAGTTTGAAAGTTATCGTAAACTTAATAGAGATCGAGAGTGGGAGAGAGTTGCATCTACTACAAATTTTGATAAATTAATTAGCTGTAATAACATACGTACACAAGTGACTTTGCATATTAACTTTTTCCATCATACATTTTGTTTAACTTTGAGAGAAATTTGGAACCACATTGCCCTTTCTCAAATTATGGCAATGCCGCATACACCGCGCAAACCCCTATATGGCTTCGTTTCACACTTCACTTCACTGAGGCAGACTTTCTTTTATTTGTTACGTTTCATGGAATGAATGTTCTAAAAGTCTTTTTAATATTAGAGCACTGAGGATTTTATTTGGTGAGAATTATTCGAGAACCGTGTTTGTACGTATACGCAAAAGTTACATCTACAAAGAATTAACTAACGTCGTTTAATATCAAATAGGTTATCATCACATGAAAAATAATATCTTATTTATACTAAATCCACTTGAACCCAGGGCGGTTCAGAGGTCTCTCTACTATCTAATCTAACACTGACAACGTTAAAATTTTCAACGTTAAAAAATCTAGAACATCACCAAGAGGTTATCTCAAATGTAAATTATTGCATTTGTAAATCAAGTAGGTACTATAAGGGAAGTTCTTTTAGTTAAAATAGACACGCGATTAAATTTTTCCTACCCTATGAAATGAGGTTTTAAGAATTAAGAACATCACGGCGCGTGTTGGAGTTAAAACGTGTTTTTAAGTTCACGTAAGCTCCGTCTAGCTAATTCTGGGAGCGCGTGCCCCACAGCACGTGGTCGTGCAAGGGTTAGGCCGGGCTGGAGTCGGGAGGGCAGGTGCTGGCCTGGGCAGCGGTCAGCGGATGCTGCGGCGGTATCGATCGTACCTTGTCGTCGCGCCGTGTGAACGCGTGGGGGGGCTCGGAGGCGGCGCGGGCGGCCTGGCTGCGGGGCTAGAGGTGCGTGCTCGTAGGGCGCGGGCGGGCTCCGTCATCTGTGGGCGGCGGTCATGGGCTCGCGGGCCGGGCGTGCGAGGCGTCGCGCGGCGGGCCGGGTACTGGCGCCCGACCCGGCTATCGATCGCTGCGCGCGCCGGCCTCCGCCCTTGCTCATGAATGGTCCCCGGTGCGGAGCTCACGTGCTCGCTGGCCCTGCTCGTTGTGACCTCCTCTGACTATCATCCTTGCACGTCGATACTCAACGTAATCTAAGTTAAAATTTCATAACGACCGTCTGTCTTCCCCTCGGCACCCTGCGCTGTTATTATTAGCGCAGTGCCATGGCGTACCCGATACTGCATTGACACATGCATCTGTATTAGCAGTTAGCACCATTCAAATGAAACTTCAATCCAGTCCTGTTATCTCATAAAAGCTTATGCATTCAAAATATTCTGATATTTAATTAGAAAATCTGTCGGTGAGAAGGAAAAACCAAATGTGGCGAACTACGGTGTATGTTTCGTCCGACAAAATGATCGGGCTCCGTGTAAAATGAGAAATAAAAAAATATTACACAACTGAGTTTTTTATTTGCCAAACTAAAATACAGTTTTAAAATAATGGGGTTATAGTCGTAGTATCGTAGCTCTTTCGTAGCCCGTAGCCAGCTACGCGGTCGTTGCTACCACTCGACTACGAGTCTACGACAAACTGCCTACGAATACTGGCTAAAATTAAATCTTATTTTGATACTATTTGTATACGTTACGTGAAAAGTAGTATAAGGTAAATTTCTTATAATGTTGATATCGTTCCTTACAATAGATAGAACATTTCGAGACGTTCATTGTTAGCCTTTCCTTACACCCGCCATAAGAGCTTGTTCTATTTAACGAGGAGATAATAAGAATATACGTGTTAATGCGTCAATAGCTATAAATAGACGTGCATTAATGGAAAATGTTGACATTTTATGTGGCATATATGAGTATGACGTCACTGGAAAATGAAGGTGGGGTGAAGTGGCTCCGGGATTATGTTTAATTTTGTAAGAGCCATACGCTTTTTGTTTTGTTTGCGTGAGTATTCAAAAATCATTTCATATGTATTATGAAGGAATTTTCAACTTCACTTGAGTTTCATGAACATATTTTCCTCGTTGCATTTCATAATATACTGTGTTAAAACTTTCATATAAAAATGCCAGCCCGAATGAAACTAGGTGATGCTTTCTAAGCGCCTAGGCTTGTATGTTTGTGTTGTCAGTAAAAAAGTCTAGGTACACCTCATAAATTCCGCGTCGAATATATTTGTTAACAACTTAATCCAATTTTGCTCGGGAATCTTGTTAGTTACATAAAAGGAAAATAATAAATTGTTTTACGAAAGTTTGCTTGCAGACAGTACTGTAATGTATTAATATTTGTTTGTGAGACGAGTTGGCGGATATTCGCCAAGTTTCTCCATTCGTAGAACACATGTGCATCAGGCGCGCCGACTGTTCTGCGCTCACTCAGGCTATGACGTTTGATACTTTGTTGCCTTAGTTTAGCCGAGTTTAAACTTCAATAAAAATGGAAGAGAATATTTATGTTGCATGATGCTCTTTCAATAGAAGATAAGTTGTGAAAGTATTATTCTTTAGAAAAGGTAATTAGCGTGGCTGTTGGACGAATTTCATCGCGTGAGATTCGAATTATGTATCTTCGAAAAAAAGATGAATTCCTTCCTTTTTTCTCTAACACGAGATACCAGCATTTCTGTAAAATACCAATATTCATACAAATAAAGCTTTGAATATGTCCAAAAGTGCGGATTGGCTGCTTTTGGGATGTGTTTTGCGCATTGACCAGACCGCAATGGGCCCGTAGAGTCGTCGAGATTCAGCGGACCAGGGGTTTGGTGACCCTATTACCTAGTGATTCGGCCTCGTTATAGTGGACCCGCTTTATTCTGACTATACTTAAGCTTAAGTCGTAGGTGGACAAAGGTAAACGTCCTTAATGTAAATTAGGTTGATGTTTTTTTGGGATTTTCAAGTGTTTTTTAGGTACTGGAGTTCGTTCAATATTATGTACTTTCATCGCATATAAGTTAAGTTAAATCATCGTGAAACTGAACTCATATCCAGTAATAACTGAATCCGACCTCTATAAAGCCTATAAAGCCTCCAAAGATAAATAAATATGTTTGTACTATTTTGAAGGAGTTTATTTATTTATTTATTTATTTATTTAATGAGCAACATAATAATAATAATAACATAATAAGTTAATTTCAATCTTCAAAAAAATGAAGTAAAGTGCGTTCCGCGACGGAAAAGCAGGCTTGCTAAGCAATTTTCGTGGAAACACACTAAAGTACTTTTAAGCAAACGTCTGAATATCCACCACATTTGAAGTGTTTGCTATCTTTGAAACGTTGCCGTGAGGCGATGGGGGAAATAACTTGCCGCCGCCTACCTCGTGACCGGAATGAGCGCACGAAGGACTGGCGAGACACCCTCGAAACGAAACGACCTCCTTAGAAAAACGATATTTAGACACTAATATTCCACGTGAATTATAGTTCTTACTCTTTTACGCGACGTATAGTAACTTACATTAATATTTCTACCGTTATGTGATAATGTTATATTCTAAAACGACAAAAACTTTTAAACGCGTTTAGAACTAGGTGCCACGATGACGATGATGCTCTAAATATGCGCGACTAAATAGAATAGCTACTGCTACTTAGTCAAAAACTTAGTTTTTGCAATACCTGCTTATACCTACTACTCCAAGTTTAATAACAGATACACGCGACCATAATTTACTAACGATTCCCATTGTGCGCAATGAAGTAGCTGCCACGTGAAAATAAAGTGTATAATATTAAGTACAGAGCATAAAGCCACGAGTGCAGAATGCAGCTAAATAATGCACCAGGCGAGCGCCGGAGCGAGGCGGGCGCTTCCTAAATGTATCATAGCGCCCGTAGTACAAGGGACCCCACTTTAATATTTGTGCTGCACCTCCGTGCTCGTCCCAGGATCGATTTAAGTTCTACTTTTCAGCTCGTTAATGGGAAATGCAATATTCAATTGCTGAAAATGCAGGCTCTCTGAAGTATTGTATTGTTGGTAGGTACTAGTATTTATACAGACATAATGCACAGCTTTCAGAGGTAAGATGGTTACATTGTCTTTGAAAGTTCAGCCTTTTAGGCAATAAAATAGTTTAAGATGTTTGTCCAGGTAATTCGTGATGTAGAGGGGTGTTAGGGATCTAAACCTTTGACGAATGATTAAGCATACTCCTTAAGATGATAGATAGATGATCCGGTCTTTGTATGCAAAATCTTTGTAAAAAGCTTTTTTTAGGTAACCAGTAGGTACTTTCTATAAGCATTAAAAATGTATGACACAGAGCTTTACAATTAGTAGGTAGGTAGGTAGTGTAGGTACGTTACTAAATAATAAAACAGAATTCTGATCTCCTCCTAGAGTACAATTTTAATCCAGAATTTATCGTGTAAAGCTCACATCCCTTTGTTCTAATTACACAATGGCGATAAATAAAGCGCGTAACGAGATTATACTTGTGACTGAGTCTGTATGCAGCGCTTGGCCCGCGGCGGCCGGCGATCGCCCGGCTTCGGAATAATCACATTTCGTCCTATCGGATGTTGATTGCTCGGCAAACTGCGCTAACCACCCAATACATCCGTAATTAACAGCTTTTGTCTAATTCGGAGCATTCGAATTTCGATTGTTATGATAGTAGTCATCATTTTATTTGCTTGCACTGTTTTCAGGGCTATCACGGTTCGGGCGTTTTCCTTGTTTCAACAAATCTCTTTTTCGGTAGTACTCCACCTCTGGGATTTTTTACCGATCCCCAAACTCGTCTCCAAGTTTTCCTTCTTTTAGTGTAGTTTATATCACCGTATATGTAGATTTAGATTTGTAAATAATGTAGTAGATCTATACCTAAGTCCATCTCTCTAATTCCATTCACCCATTCTGAGTTAACTCGATATTTGACGCTTCTCTTTGTCATTTATTACTGTCACTTTTGTCGAGAGAAATGAGAAATGAGAATGGAAAGTAAACCCCGGCAGTTGATATTAAGGGCAAAACCTATTTTAATAGTAGTGAATGTATATGTCACGTAGCTGTCTGCCATAAGTTTAATGAAAAAAATACTGGCGTTCACTGGCGAAACCAATCTTTTAAGTTTCGATTCTGCTAGAGTTATTCGTAAATTGTACGGCTAAGAAACCAGACATTTGAATAAGATTTAAAGTCTAGCTCAGAGGTTCGAGCCGAGAACTTATTCAATGCGGATCTTATTACTCTTTTGTTGCGACATGCAAGTTTAAAACGGGGAATTCGAAAGAACGATCGGTAAAGTTCCGAGTGATGTCGGCAAAGCGGATTATTTACTCGGCTTCGTCGCTGTGTGGCTTTCAGGAACGCCGGTGCATCGATAACTCGATTATTTTGGCTCGACGGCGCTGAGAGGACGACCCTATGCGGTTTGTGGTCGCAGCGCAGCTCTGGACGTGATTAATCGCTTGTTTATGGCGCAAAATCAGTGCGCGACGTCGATTGATTGGATGACGATTTGATTTCTGTATCGCGTTAAGTACTTTTCCCCTGAGGGTTTGTAAGTCTGAAATTTATAGCACAATACAATACTCGTACCATTAAATTGAAACTCGTACTTTTGTGCAATATGAAACTATAAAAGGCTGTAAAATGCGGACGAAATATTCAACAACAGTTTAAAACAGACAATAGGCTAGTTTCCTAAAAAAAATTTTTTAGTCCGTCATGTTTAATATCAAAAAATATTGGACACATATATTTTTATTTGTCAATCTAACAAATAATTACATAGTTATGGTGCGTTGAAGTTCCGCACGACGTCACAACGTGCGGCACTTTTATGCAAGCATTGACGTCACGGGCCTCTTTTTATGAACTTTGGCGCGCTTTATCTCTTTAAATTTTCATTAGTTTGAAAAAGTAAAAATTACGTGTAGAGTATTTTTTGATAAGTTAACTGACGGACTAATTAAAACTCTTGCTTTTTGACCCAGGAAACATCCCTATTGCTGTAAAGTTAATTAATGTATATTCTTTACCTTATTGAGTTTTTCATTAATGTTGTTAATTGTTGTAAAACACAAAGAATGTAGGGTAGGTAGCCCTTCGAAATTCCAGTTTTTTTTCAAGGCGAATGTGGTTTAATTTACAGAAGAATGTCGGATATTCGACTGAGGTCTAATTTAGAATTCAATAAAGGAGGGATTTGCAACGTCGAATGAGAGCGGGACCCGCCAATAGAAGGGCGTCTTTTGAATAGCCACTGTCTAACACGATTTAAATTTTTAGCGGCCCGAGTATGCGTAGGACTACTTGTTCGTTCACCCTTGAACCTAATATTTATTTATGAACTGTCCTTCCATACGTGTAAACAAACAATACTCCCCGTTTAATATTTCACTAATGCGGTAGCCTAGCGAAGCTAGGCAGGAAAAATAGAGTGGGATTTCTTAAAAGGAAATCTCTGTAGCGTTCGATCAGGCAGTTAGCTTTTTATGGAAAAACACTATCTCACCAATTACCCTCCGTTAGTGGAGACGTAGGGCGCGTAATTTGTAAACGCCACTCATTTCATTACACAAAGATAAGGGTCTTGTGAATATTTGCGCTCAATTTGGCACATTTATGTTGCCCTATACAGAATCCCGACACAGAAGCTTTGGGAGTGCTTGTTATAAATCAGCGATACCTTATTTTGTTTTTGTTTGGTATGCTATCATAGAAGGTTTACGTAGTGAACGGCGCTTTCTAGGTTAATTGGGTCTATAGTAGTTGAAGTATTAAATAAAATTTAAAAGAATCTGGAGCTCGACAAACAAATAACTTGGATTAAAATTTTCGAGTGCAATTTCAAGTTTCAAGTACGTCTGTGTCACCCGTAGCTATAATTAACTGGAAGGCAGCGAGCCAAGCGGCGGAGCGGTTTCGACGAGGGAAAAGTCAAGTAGATATCTCACCAGCAGCTGCATTCGACCGCCGGCACGGGCCTGGAACAAGACAATGATATTTTACATTTGTCACACAAGTGCGACTTTGCGGAGCGCGACTTCATGGGTATTTTGACTTTACGCTACATTCGTTTTAAGGATTTCACGCATATCTTCCAGTCTAAGGTTAAACATTTTTATGAATGTACTTGATTTAGAAGATTATGCTTATTAAGAATAGAGTTAAATATGGGTCTGTCTGTAAACATATCAATCCATTTGTGAAAAGTACTTTTTGTAAGTATGTCTTATTTACAATTTTATGCTACAATGGCCGATCATCTATGTATGTGTTTAACTTTCCCCCGGGACAAACTTGACCTTCATTGGTTGGGTTTTTGTGGCGGTCAAGCTGTAGATCCTGGCTACACAGGAGTTGCAGTGGTGGGAACGAGAGGTGGGAATAGTCTCATCTATGTATGTGACTACATTATTGATTGAACCGTTAAAATACATCTTAATTTAGTCATTAATATCGCACGTTTCGCGAGTTAAATAATAAATGATGCGTCGATCCCTGCTCATTTAATATTGGTTCTAGCTAAAGCTTAATTGTTCAACTAATACAAACACTATAGTTAATGTATAACTTCATTTGTTAACGAATCAAGTGATATACTCGTACCGACATGTGATAAATGAAACGAGATGCAGAAACAGTGAATATTGTTCGTTTTATTCACTAAAAGCTATTCTAAGGTTTAATGTTTTTGTTAGTTGGAATATTCGTCTTGAACGTTCTAACTAATAGCCTTATGAGCCAGCTACGATAGTTCTTGAGAACCTTATCTCAACGCGAAACTAAGTGATGCAATTAAACGCAGCTAGTGCAGTAGAAGGGGACCGTTAAAGTACCATTAATTACTCCCTATTTCCGATAGGAAACCGTTAATCGATCGGACTTACTGTCGCAAAGCCAGTTTAGATCCTGGATCGTGGTAAAAGAAACGGCAGCGAGCTACTTGCGTTCTCTTTCACTTTTTGCTTAGGTAGAATGGGTATCTAGATCTAGATGATAAATAAAATAAACATTCACAAGACGATAGTATATGAGTCTAATATGAGACAGTACATAGACTAAGATTTTTATGGATAGCGATCTTCATAATTTTGTACCTAACCCGTTGAGGCTGTATTTAAATGTTACTTATTTTAAATGTTGTGAATACATCAGTCATTTAAAACGAAAATTCATCACTATTTTGTCCACGTCAGTAACCTCTAACTTATATCATCTTGGGTAGTTTAGAATTCCTAGACAAAAAGACAAATGTGTAGATAATTTGTACTATGAATGTCGGGAATGCGATTAAACGCGGCGCGCGTCAAATCGCGAAGCACGCGGCGCGGCCGCTGCGTGCCGTCGCCCTACCGCCGCACTATGGAGCGAAATTGAGATTTATGGACATAGCGATTTTTTTCACAATTTCTATTTGAAAAAAATACCTATCGATAGGTTACGTTATTCTGATGAATAAATGCTGCACAAGTTTTTCTCTAAAACCAATAGTTTGACTGGAAAAAAATATTTTCCATTTTCGTTGTATGGAATGAAACATAAAGTGGTCGATTTCGACTAAGCCTTGACAGATCTTGCTTTGAAACTACTTGAGCCTTGTTCTATGGCTTGTTGACTGTAATCCTACGCTATCAGCGCGCATCCAAAGTTGCCCGTTCACAAGTTATGAGGTTCTGAAAAATTAAAAAAAAGTAAGTAAAAGTGACTTTTTTTTGGAATATCTTTAAAGATTTAACAAAAATATAAAGATTTTATACGTTAATAATGTAAATTAACCTTAAATTACTGCTAAAAACACATTTTAATAAACTTAAAAGGAATTAAATCAGCGATTTTTTTTTCACAATTTCTGTTTAAAAAAAATACCTGTCGATAGGGTATGTTATTCTGATGAATAAATATTATGAACGTTTTTCTCTAAAACCAATAGTTTGGCTGGAAAAAAATATTTTCCATTTTCGTTGTATGGAATGAAACATAAAGTGGTCGATTTCGACTAAGCCTTAACAGATTTTGCTTTGAAACTACTTGAGCCTTGTTCTATGGCTTGTTGACTATAATCCTGCAAAAACAGCGCGCGCCCAAAGTTGCCCGTTCAGAAGTTATGAGGTTCCAAAAAATGAAAATTAAAGTAAGTAAAAGTATCTTTTTTTGGGTATAAATCTTTAAAGATTCAACTAAAACATGAAAATTATATACTTTAGTAATGTAATTAACCTTTCTCTTGTCGTCTTATCTAAAGAAAAGTCAATTTTACTTACTTTACTTTTCATTTTTCGGAACCTCATAACTTCTGAACGGGCAACTTTGTGCGCGCGCTGTTAGTCTAGGATTATAGTCAACAAGCCATAGAACAAGGCTCAAGTAGTTTCAAAGCAAAATCTGTCAAGGCTTAGTCGAAATCGACCACTTTATGTTTCATTCCATACAACGAAAATGGAAAATATTTTTTTCCAGCCAAACTATTGGTTTTAGAGAAAAACGTTCATAATATTTATTCATCAGAATAACATACCCTATCGACAGGTATTTTTTTTAAACAGAAATTGTGAAAAAAAAATCGCTGATTTAATTCCTTTTAAGTTTATTAAAATGTGTTTTTAGCAGTAATTTAAGGTTAATTTACATTATTAACGTATAAAATCTTTATATTTTTGTTAAATCTTTAAAGATATTCCAAAAAAAAGTCACTTTTACTTACTTTTTTTTAATTTTTCAGAACCTCATAACTTGTGAACGGGCAACTTTGGATGCGCGCTGATAGCGTAGGATTACAGTCAACAAGCCATAGAACAAGGCTTAAGTAGTTTCAAAGCAAGATCTGTCAAGGCTTAGTCGAAATCGACCACTTTATGTTTCATTCCATACAACGAAAATGGAAAATATTTTTTTCCAGTCAAACTATTGGTTTTAGAGAAAAACTTGTGAAGCATTTATTCATCAGAATAACGTAACCTATCGATAGGTATTTTTTTCAAATAGAAATTGTGAAAAAAATCGCTATGTCCATAAATCTCAATTTCGCTCCATAGTGCGCCGGTCACGTGATTGAGTTGCTTAGACTTTTTATTGGACTATCGAAGCAGGGGACAGGTTAACAAAAACTGTAACGGTCAACTATTTTTTAATTACAGGTGCGTATTTCTGGCAGGTGGATATGTGAGGTGAAATACAAAGAAGAAAAAAATTCTGAAAGAAGCCTTCGACTGTGGTATATGTAGATAGACTATTCGAAATGAGTCAAATTGTTCGTAAAATAAATCTGAATCCGTACTTCGGTCGGAGTCAATTGAGCCATGTAGACCCCAGAGCTGAGGTGGCTCATAAAGTCTGAGATTAGGGTTGCGATTTCAATTGTTTCAAATCACATGATAGAAGATTAAACAACAGGTAGTTTGTGGCCGCTGTACTAAAAAAAACAGGGATTAAAAATTGACAAGTCTAGCTGAGTGGTCAACTCTAGATAACTAGACTCTAATAAATAATAATAATAATAATAATAATAAATACTCTTTATTGTACACCACATAAAAAGAAATAGAAAGAAAAGGAACACATAAGGTACAATTAGGCGGTCTTATCAATGTATAATGCTAGAAGTCTACGAAAATTGGCTTTTCGTCTAATCCTGATAATTATGTCTCTTTGAAACCACTGAGGTGATCTGATATGTGAAAGCATGTTTTCAGTGATCCAACTCTTTTCACTGTTCATCTTTGAAAAAAGCTGTTTACAAATACGAGTGTATCAGGCTGTATACGGCCCCTAAATAAACCTATTGGTCATTCATTCTCTGGCTGAAAGGGCACAAACATGCAACGTAATCAAGTCGGCTCGTTTTAATCATCGAGGGGTGTACCGATACGCCCGCGGCCATCATACATGCGCCATACATACTCGTACATTCCACCCGAATTTTCACTAGTTCTAAACACTCAGTAGATAAAGTTTAAATTCGCTTAAATTTTGGACAGCCCCGGGCTAGCTCGCTGCTACACAAACCCATCTACACGTTACGCGAGAGTGGAACATATTAATCCTACACATTGGATCAAAAATAACTGATGAGTATCTACATTCGTAATAGCCGTTTTGCATATTGCTAAATTTATCATGGAACACGCGCTGATGAATGATATTGTCTCCAAAATTGTTCAGGAATGTAAATAATACTTCATTACAGGAGGAGGGGGTGTTATGGCAATAATAAGTACCATCTCAATGAAATATAATATACGAGAAGTTAATATAATTTCAAATAAAATGTTGACGGGTTAGGATGGAAAAATATTGTAATGGGAAATTCTAGCGTTTCAAACATAAATATGAATCAATTGTGACTATGGGTGAAACATCAGAGTCTGTAGTTTTGGACCTGAAATCTGATGAAGCGATTCAAATCTGTCGAAATTTGTCTAGTCGCCTCTTACCTAGTTCGACTTCGAAGTCGTTTCTTCTCAAACGCCCCATTATTCTTACCACAGTAAATTATGTAAATAATCCACGAACTAAAGGACAATTTCATGCTTATTAAAAGCTCACATTTAATTAATTATGACGGAGCTGTTTTAGAAACTTGCGAAAGTGAGTTAGGATATGTTATTAAAAGCTTTTCGAGGCAAATGGCTCTCGGGGGAGGCCGCGGGCACGGAACCGTCTCTGGTTTGGTTCACCTAACCTATTTATCGTAGTACCTACATAGTGGATCTACTACATTAATGTGTGTACACAGAGAAAGCCTTGTAACATAAATAGTTAAAAATTTGACAAAAAAAAATAGCGCTCTATTTTCTGTTTCGAAGTGGAACAAAAATGAGATAAGTAAGTAAAAAAAAATAGGCTATCAGGACCAACATGAAATCAATTGTTTTTTATTTTAGGCAAGAAAAGATGAGGATGATTAACTTGCAAGTAGGTGAGGGGCATTAGTTTTATCTCCAGGTAAGTACCTACTCAAAATGAACTAGCTAAACTAATAATTATAAAACACCATTTGTCAGGTAGGTAACTCGTTAAAATTCCATACCTCGGTCTTTATAAAGATGTCGGCTTTGATTACAAAAAAATACATAATACAATTGTGATACATTCAGCTTTTGCATGGCAAGAAGTAGTTTATTACCCAATTGAATTAATTAACCAATTTTATTATTTTGTTCATGTTGCCAACAGCACGGCGAGAGTGCCTTTGACCCGACCTGACCTGAGAGTTGAGACCCTTTTAATGAATCTGTCCATTCGTTTTGCCCAACAACGATGTATTTAACTAACTGCACAAACAAAGTAAGTATAAAATAATAATTTCCAGCACGTTTTTTGTTAATTCTCCTTGGGTATACATTTTTACCTCGCCGTGAACGTGCTAAGTACCACAAAAAGAAAATAAATCAAGTCAGATACTGCTCGGTATAAATAAATGTAATTTACGGCTACGCTTTCGCATTTCGAGAATGAAATGACGTTAGAGAACTGGGGAGAAATGAACAGCCCTATTTAAAAATCCTACTTTGTATATTCTTCGGCACTGATTACCTGCCTTACGAATAACGGCAGAGCTTTTGCGTAACAATTCGTGGCCATTTTGATATTCGTAACGAATTTTACTCAAATAATCTATACTTCTATACTAATATTATAAAGCTGAAGAGTTTGTTTGTTTGTTTACTTGAACGCGCTAATCTCAGGAACTACTGGTCCGATTTGAAACATTCTTTCAGTGTTAGATTTATCGAGGAAGGCTATAGGCTATATAAGTATAGTTGCAGAGCAAAAATGAAAAATGTTGCGAAAACGGGTTTTCACGCGAACGAAGTCGCGGGCACAGCTAGTAATAGATATAAGATAGGTACCTCCATTTCCTAACTAAAGTAAACTTTAGGACTAACATTACAGCTGATGCGCTACTTATAATATTCGCGGTGCGCATGCTAAAAGTCTCTTGCCGAAACTTACAACTTGATAAGTTAAATCGTTTAGAAGTTGTAGACCGTGGCTTAAATCGACACAAAAGCGCATCGCTCGGCTCAATAGGTTCTGTTATACGCTCTTAAAACTTTCAGACAGTTACATTAGGGGTTAACAACTTTGACTACCACTATGTGCCTATTAAACTGCGAGACGGTCCGGAAAAATAGTTAAGTTGTCTGGTAGATAGCTCGTAACTAGAGATGTGCTGTTTCCAGAAACGTTCGCCATGTCGGCAATATTCCCGGCAGTGGATCCCAACATTACCACTCAATGGGAATATTCCGGACCTGTGCCTCTACCATGAGTTGCCATCGAAAACTTGTATTCGTATACTACAGTCGATAGAGTTTAAACGTGGATCGATGAAGTTTGCATTAAAATCATACCATGAGTTCAATTACCGTATACTTTATAGATGACCCACGCTGAACTGTCCCACCAAACTCAATGACAGGGGGGCGCTACCATCGTTCAACTATACAGTGTGAGTCACGTTAAAGTGTACATATGAAAATATATGAAACTAGACCTATTTTTATCGACAAAAAAGAGGTCAAAAAATTTTTGAGATTTTTTTTAAATTTTTTATTGAATATTATTTCTTCCAATTACTTATTGTAAAGAAAACGTAATAACTTTTAAACTAAGCGGTATATCCTGGTAAAATAAAAACAGTAATAATGCTAAATAACAGGCGATACTAAAAAAATACATAAAATACACAAAAAAGGCCAACAAATAATAAAAAATGATACTTTTTGAAAAAATTCTGCTTTTAAATTCGTGTTTTTTTGATTATTTGATAAATTTCTCCAAAAAATGCCCCTATAACCGGTGGTTTTTCTTACTTTGTATTATTCTCTATCGTATTACCTTCGTAAAACCAAAAATCGCATGTATCTATCCCTATCACAACGTTTGCAATGATCGTTTGAACTAAGCCTCTCCGGGCGCGCCATTCAACGCTTCGTTAACAACGAAACTGAAAATGGCTCTAGATTTGTAATTTTGATAAAGACAAGTTAGATTTCAAATAAAAACAAAAGATTTCGAAGTAAAATAAGCATTTTAGTTAAAATTAAAATTGTCTCTACCTGTAGCGGAGAAAAATGTTGTGGCAGGCCTTTGTTCAAACGATCATAGCAAATGTTGTGATAGGGATAGAGACATGCGATTTTTGGTTTTACGAAGGTAATACGATAGAGAATAATACAAAGTAATAAAAACCACCTATTATAGGGGCATTTTTTGAAGAAATTTATCAAATAACCAAAAAAACACGAATTTAAAAGCAGATTTTTTTCAAAAAGTATCATTTTTTATTATTTGTTGGCATTTTTTGTGTATTTTATGTGTTTTTTTAGTATCGCCTATTATTTAGCATCATTACTGTTTTTATTTTATCAGGATATACCGCTTAGTTTAAAAGTTATTACGTTTTCTTTACAATAAGTAATTGAAAGAAAAAATATTCAAAAAAAAATTAAAAAATAATCTCAAAAATTTTTTGACCTCTTTTTTGTCGATAAAAATAGGTCTAGTTTCATCTATTTTCATATGTACACTTTAACGTGACTCACACTGTATGGTTTCCAACATGGAAAAAATCTGTACCAGCGATCCGGTATTGACGGTGGCGCCCCACTGTCAATGTCATCGACAGGACAGTCCAGTATTTTGGAACTATACTCGCTAGCGATAATTCGATGGTTTTGTGATGTCATGTTGGTGAGCATGTAAACGTATCCAACTTCACACTCTATGAATGGATGAATGAAAGAACGAATGCCGCTCCTTTCTAACTATATAGAAAAGATAGAGTAGGAAATAACGAAAATGTCAAAAATAACACTGCAAAATTTAAGTGTCCTAGAACAGTGCTTAAAGCTGAATTAACATGATGATTTTCAATTTGTATTGTTTATTTCTTGTCATTGCGACTTTGACGCAGCTGTTGTCATGACAACAGACAAAAAAACATGTTTTCTTGAAGAATTATTGATGAATAATTTTCCACAAAAATTGGATTATTTAACCAGGATAGGAAAATGAGAACCTGCGGCTATCCGTTTAAACCGATTGTAGAATTTATGGAAAGGTAAGTTAAGTAAAAATAAACATACTATGTGGTGGAGGAATTTCGAAATTAAACGAATAATTTTGAGCTGGTTTTTTTGGAGAAATACAACCTTTCCAGCATAACTTCCACGTGCCTAGCTAAAATTCAGTAATATCAGTGCTAGATTTATATTTTCTAGATACAATAAAGTTGTTTTTCTATAGATATGGCGATCTGAGTATGCCCACTGAAGGGCCCCAAGAAAGAGCCAACATTAGTCAACGATGGGTGGAACTAACGGACACGCGAACGTGAAATGCTGATGCCACCGGCGACACCAAAACTACTGAGAAATTGAGAAAAGTGTGTATAAATACGTACTACTATATTCATTTTGATTGCTTTTATCTTATTTCGTCCATATTTCGTCATTATTATTTGTAATGTTTATTTGTTAAGGTGTGGAGTGACTTTAAACAGCAAGAAGAAGGCAACTCGCATACACAGAGCTGCCAAGGGAACACTGCATGGACTGGTGGCGGTCCAGGTTCTTCCCTGAAGCCAAAGGGTTTAGAGCAGAGTGCTCACCTACTTGTAAATTAAATCCATAATAAAGACCTAGGGTAACTGGATGGATATACCTACCTACCTTATTATTGTAGAACTTAAGATATTATAATTAATTAAATACATTATATTGTTTTAATCTTTCATGGTCACTAAACATACAATACGTAGCAAACTCGTCAGTAGGATATGTATTTAATAATTAAGTAAATATATATCCTACTAATATCCTACTTAATATTAAAAATGCGAAAGTTTGGATGTCATGATGTCTGGATGTTTGTTACCTACTCTTTCACGCAAAAATTACTGAACGGATTTTGATGAAACTTTACAGCATTATTGTTTATAACCCAGATTAACATATGACGATCTGTGACAAACTAAATTTCACGCGGCCGAAGCCGCGGGCAAAAGCTAGTTGAAAATAAAATGATTAATTTTTATTGACTATTTATTTCACAAAACCTAATACCTACATAATACACAGACTGATTAAAAACAAAAGTAAATTTCAACTTATGAAAATATTCATTGTCGGCTTAGCTTTCTATCATGATCTCGTAAGGCTGCGTTTCCACCAGAGATGTGCGAGGATGCGTAGCGAAGGATGTGTTTGTAAAGAACCTAGAATCGCTTCATTTACCTCGCCTCGGTCAGCACATCTCTGGTGGAAACGGCTCAGACTGTACAACACTTATGAGCATTTTCAAAGCTCTGCTACACATCCTCGTACGATACATTTTCCTCGCACAGCTTTGGTGGAAATCCGCACACATTTTCACAGCACAGCTAGACATCCTCGCACGACACTATTCCCTCGCATATCTCTGGGAAACGCAGCATGCTCTCCCTCCCCCAAGGATCTCCACAATGACCGGTCCTGCGCTGCCCGCATCCAGGTTCTTCCCGCGACCTTCACCAGATCGTCGGTCCACCTAGTTGGAGGTCTGCCCACATGCTGATAACATTTTCCATCGTAATAAACTTCGTTCCGACATAATTTAATAAAGAAAACACCTAAAACCACAATTTTATTTCGCTTTTCACACGTCAATAAGCCAGTGAGTTACGTTACTGTGACAGCTAAGGTATTTTTCGATGACATCTTTGAAAATTGCAACTCATGGTAAGTTATTTGCNACTGCCGTGCCCCCAGATAATAATACACAAATTATTAATATCAATTAAAAAAAATCGCTCACAGTACTATTACTTATTCTGTGACTTAGGGTCAAATGGGCGAACTTGTATTTTTAAAATGACCTTCCTACCCACCCACGAAAGTCTAACCTTCCACCAAACAGCCTGTATAATTTCAATGTTCATTTTGGCTTATTTAATAAATACCACAGAATAATAATGAACTCGTAATAATCACCCGTCAATTCGTTGTAACGTTGCCGTTTATTGTCGGTTTTATTACGTACTTACGCACATATTTTTATTGTAGGTGTTCTGGGCGGCGCCTGTGGCGAGCTGGCTATACGTCTTCGCCCAGCTCTGATTTTCGCACCAAAGCACGCTGAAATTTATTTGGATGCCTTGCGAAAAACTCTCAAACAACTTTAATGTAATTTGTTAGTGTGTTACAGTATTATTGAAATTATATGAAGCATAAACAGTATTATAAAATATTCTTTAGGTATTACGTAATATTACTTATTTAAACCTTTATTTTATACTGGTCAATTTGAATTCAGTTTCAGTCAGTTATTTGTGTAATTAATATGTTTAGAATATTATGTACTCTTTAACTATAAATATTATTTTGTTGACAAGTAGGTAATTTATTGTGATTTATCGTTTGATAAGCAATAGTGAGTGCCATAAATTGAATAAGTATAAAAAATGATGAATGGTTTAAATTCTTATCTTGAATTGAAGTTTCCTATAGATATTTTAACTTCTCTTGATTTAGATCATTATTTTAGTCTATTAAACTTATCTACCTTGTTAAAAATATTGTATACCACAAACGTATGTCTTCCAATAAATAAATAACATATTTAAGAATGATTATCGTTTTTATTTTTACCCGACTACGGCAAAGCAAAAGGAGGGTTATGATTTTGACAGGCTATGTATGTATGTATGTATGTTCATCTGTTCCCTCGTAACTTCTAAACTACTTACTTATCAGAATTCGACAAATGACATATCATTAGAAGCGTCTTAATTGTCCGCTGGTTATAGGCTATATGGGGTTTCACAAAATCTAATGTGGCGCCCTCTAGCAGACAAAACATACAGAGTAAAAAATTAAAGTTAAGATAAATATGCCGTGTTTGGTATCATTTGAAAGCGCTTTACTTGAACATTTTGAATAAGTATATATATATTTACAAGCATTTGCTTGTGACTTTACCTGTATTCATGGGCTGATTGCATATAATTCACATATCTTTTCGTTCATAGCATCTTTAGTACTTATTAATTCATCAATTTAACTTTTGTTAATATTATGCGCCACAAATACACTTTAACACCAAAATGGTACAAATAATTAAGTAAAAAGTAAAAAAACTAAAACCCAACTACGACAAAAAACGACGCTGAAAAAGTATTAAAACAAGATTTTCAGAATACTGAAATGAACAAAGTTGCTAATGTAGTTGCATAGTAATTTTCATGTTTGGAAAGGCGTAGTCACACGTTATAATATACCTACCTACCGTAGCACTTTGACAACGTGTGACTGCGGTTTTCCAAACATGAAAATTACCACAGATATCTGTGAAAATTACTATGCAACTACATTAGCAACTTTGTTCAGTTCAGTATTCTGAAAATCTTGTTTTATACTTTTTCAGCGTCGTTTTTTTAGATATCACTTTTTTCTGTACCTATTCCTAAATCATCATGATAGTCTATGAATGCTTACATTTGCATTTTTTTTGGGACTAGATGATACGTGAAATGATACTATTCCAAAGTAGCTATCTACATGCATTTTTTCTTTGGAACTAGATGACACTGCGAGATGATACTATTCCCAAGCTACATACGTCATTAGTACTAGATGCCGAGCAGAAATGAAGAACATAAAAAACTAATCATCCAACAAATGTACCAAATCGCAACGTTGAGTACCTACCTACGGTAATAATGACGAGCTGAGACATTCATAACTCTTACTTTTGGAAACAGGTGTTAAAAAGATACTTTCTCTTTTAGTTTCCAGTTCGTCAGGTGATTAAACTAATAGTCATATTACGTGGTAAGTTGCCGTGTCCGAGCCTCACTATTTCGTTCCGAAAAAGTTTTAGTAAAAGTTTTAAGCCGTAACTTGATCGGCAGCATACACATCGCAATCTTCTTTTTCTCAATGAGAGTAGAACATTTTAATCTGCGTAAATATCTTCATACACAGCAGGCAGGTATTTATGGAGCGTCAACATGAATAGTAAGTAGCTAACTAGCAAAAAAAAAAAAAGTAGGTAATTTGGACCGTTTATTTATAAATAGCTATCAGGGTTCCATTTAAGGTAAATTCTAGCAAGCGGGATACTTACCTTTTTAGTGTTGATGCTGATAAGAGTTAAAAAAACTATTGTCACAAACAGTAACACAACAGCCTACTTAGGTACATAGGTATCCAAAATTAAGTACCCAATCTTTATTAAGCCAATGTTGGTGATTAATATTGTAGTAATTAGTCACAAGTAAATTCTTTTTAGTATCATCACACAGCTCTCTATATTTTATGTATTTGCTATCAAACGACCTCCCACTTCGCCCACATGCAGCGCAGGCGGACGCTATTTCGCGCGTCTGAAAGATTTAAATAGATCACGTCTGAAATATTATTTTTACGCGCAAAACGTTATTTCGAGCCAAACGTAATATTAATTTATGTTATATTTAGCGTGTGCCTTTACAAAAACTGCCGAATAGATATTCCGTAATCCATATTCGTGGAACTGTAAATGTTAGTAAATAATTAAGTATGTTTGTCTCGGCAGGACTAGGCATAAATATCTACAACTAGCTGACCCGGCGAACTTCGTACCGCCTTAGCGTAGAGATTTTCTTAATATTTTTTTCCGTAAGAACCATCCTTGGACTTCCACAAACATTTAAAAAAAAGAATTATCGAAATCGGTTCAGCCGTTCACACGTGATGCCGTGACAACGCGAAACGGGTTTCATTTTTATATATATAGACTAGATGATTCGATTCCAAAAAAAAACCTTTCTCCAATGAACATTGGTCACGTAAGTCCTACCATTCTATGAGCACGCATCATTATTTCAGAATGTGTTAACTTAGCCAAAATGAACACGCGCAGCGCGCGATTACCTATTTTAAACAGCAGTACCTACTAGTACCAATAAACTAACCTACCAGAGTTTGGAAATTAAACTTAATTATGTAAGTATTGAGTTAATTATAGTTACCTATATTACTTAGTCCTCGTAGGACTAAGTAAGTATAGTTTAGTTATGTTAATTATTATTTTAATACGTGTGGTTTATAATAATAATAAGTCATTTATTTCAACACACAGTCATAGGTTTAAGATTACAGTTAATAATTATAATAACTAATAATAAAATATTTAAATTTCATTTCAATTCACATTAAAATATGTTTATGAAAAAATATTCAAAACTAGCGGCCGCCCGGGACTTCGTACGCGTAGACCTCGTAGACTGATATTATCATGTTGATAAATGGCGTTTTACGGCTTTCCCCCGCATGAATATTTACGAACGTCCAACCAATCACGATAGATGGCGCTTTTATATTATATGATAGACACGTCACATATTTATTTATTGAAATTTATTTGTCATATAAATCGTCATAAATTATAGCCTATATGTTAATCTGGGTTATCTATATATATAAAAATGAAACCCGTTTCGCGTTGTCACGGCATCACGTGTGAACGGCTGAACCGATTTCGATAATTCTTTTTTTTAAATGTTTGTGGAAGTCCAAGGATGGTTCTTACGGAAAAAAATATTAAGAAAATCTCTACGCTAAGGCGGTAC